TTTGTTAAACAATAAAAACAGATGCATATAACTTTTTGACCCCACTGTGTTTTTAAAAACAACTAGGCTGGTAACGGTTGGCAAGGGCACGATCTCGCAGGCATACAGCGCTCGTACGTCTCTCCCATTGAGCCAACCGAGAGGACAAAGAGAGGAAAGCTTTGACAGTTTGGAGACTGAGATATGACCGTGATGGGGATCGCAGCATGGCAAACATCAACAATAACATTCAAATTCACATAAACACAACAATGCAACCCACCAAGTGCACCTCCAATCTGGCCTGTGGGAATTGCATTCAACTCTACTAGAGAATACGCGCCCCAGATGTGCGTCAGTTCGGCTTTCCTTCTCACATGGACGAGATCTGCTGCTCTTCGGTATATATGACCGCTACAGCAGGAAGTGAGAGCTACCTAAACGTCCCTCGAGTACTTTATAAGTTTCAGGGTTTTATGACCTCACTCCGGTCTCAGATAAGAGTCCTACACACCGCTGACCCGGCTTTCCCTGCCAATCGGCCTGACACATTACAGGAAGGCCATATTGTTCTACACAAGCTGCTTCCCCCTTTCATGATGGTGCGAGAAAGATCGCAGATCTCTCCTGTGAGAGAATGAGAGCGAAGCTATCATGGTGAGAAAGTGAGGGTGAAAATCAAACATAAATATCAGTCAGGCCGCGAGGACACAATGGGTCATTTGTCAAGCTTACGGCAGGATATTGGGAACCATCACCAGCATCATGAATGGGAGCGCGAAATACTAAACTGCTGACTTGCACTTCCACGCAAGTCAGAAACGATGACTGGAAGTTGCATCCAAGAGTTTACCTCAGTCTTCTTTGGGGAAAGATAAGGTAGAAAAAAATTTGAAGGGTGTGTTCGTCCTTGTCTGACAATGCAAAAAAAAGGATTCAAGCATTTGTGGAGGTACCAATGAAAAGAACAAGCATTAAACTTCCTCCAATTCATTCACATTAACATTCAGGTTCGATGGAGCAATTTCCTAAAATTAAGTTCTAAACAATCAAGTTTCAAGTAGTCTTGGGTTTCTCAGCAACAGTAAAGGGAATAGTTTAAAAGAATAGTTCGGCCAAACACGCAAACGCTGTTATTATTTTAGTGAGAATGAGATTTGACGGCGATAGAGAGGAGAAAGATTTCTCATGAATAAGGACCTAAATTTAGGGCTGTTCCACAAAGAAAGATAATTTACAGTCCTGATAAAAAATTTAGGGTCGGCATGCAAGACTTTTTCAATATTTAAAAAAAAAAAAAGTCTCTCCAAGGTTGCATTTATTTGATCAAAAATACAGTAAAATCAGTAATATTGTGAAATATTATTACGATTTCAAAAAACTGTTTTCTATTCCAGTATATTTTAAAATTAAATTTCTTCCTGTGATCAAAACTGAATTTTGAGCATCATTCCTCCAGTCTTCAGTGTCACGTGATCCTTCAGAAATCATTCTAATATGCTGATTTGCTGCTCAGGAAATATTTCTGATTATTGTCAATGTTGAAAACAGTTGCACTGCTTCACATTTTTGTGAAAACTGTGATACATTTTATTTTTCACAATTCAATGATGAGTACAAATTTCAAAAGAACAGCGTTTATTTGAAACAGAAATCTTTAGTAACATTATAAATGTCTTTACTGTCACTTTTGATCAATTTAATGTGTCTTTACTAAATAAAACTATTAGTTTCTTTCAAAAAACGGTTGTGTATGACCTTAAAAGACTTGGAATATTATGCATAAGCTGTATAGACTATATGTTTATAGTGCTTTATGTCGGAAAAATTAGTAAATGAGTTTTCATTTTTGCTGAACTCTCCCTTTAAAACAACAAAACAGGCATTAATAAACACAGCAATGTGGGAATGTGGATCAAAATGTGTTTTGAAATTACCTGCAGGAAGAGAAAAATGGCATCTATGGAGCAGGCGAATAACAGGAACTACTAAAAATACAAGCATTCAGTGTCCAAAGCCATGTCTAAAAATGGACTAGCATAGGCAATCAAGTCCTGTGATTTTCTGAGCCATCAAGGAAGTGCATTGGATCAAGAGTGAAAATGTTTGTTGTGTTTTTCTGTGTGAACCATTTCTATTTGACATCATTACATCAAACCCAAAAACCCCACGTTTGTAGAGCAAAGGACACACACATTTGGGTCATTTAGCTTGAAACTACTTAGATGGACGTTCATGCAATGATTGCCGGATGTGGGCTAGATTCCATCAGTCTTATCTAAAACTGACCATTTTCAGTAATGAGACGATGTTTACATGCAAGAACACACACATAAAAGCCGCTGACAGAGGTCAATCGGGATGACTAATCAGAGCACCCTAAACTCAAGACATAAATGGGAAGAGTTCAGTAACTTCTGGGCTGTTTTGTTGTTCAGACTAGTGAAAGTCACTGATCAGCAGGTGTCTGGGGGTTTAACAGTAGTTTAGGTGAAATGCAGGGGACGGAGGGCAAATTGTCTCACTACTGTCTCGTTACGACTCTTTTGTCATGTAAAATCTAATAACGTGCAACATGCCGAGCTACAGGAAAAGGGACAATACTATACTATATAAGACTATATAGCACATTTTTCTTCTATAAACAGACACACAATCCTAAGATTAAAATAACTCGTGTTAAGGTAACTACTATAGTTAAATGGGTCCTATTATGCTCTTTTACAAAGTCTTGATTTTGTTTTGAGGGTGTACTAAAACAGGCTCTCATACTAGGTTGTTTGAAAAACACATTATTTTTCACATATTTTACATTATTACAACACCTCTCTCCCCAGTCTGGCATGAACGGCTCGAATAGTTGCTGTATCAAATGAAGGCCCGCCTTCTGAAATACGAAGTGTGCTGTGATTGGTTAGATGGGCCAGTGTGTGCTGTGATTGGTTAGCTGGGCCAGTGTGTGCAGTGATTGGTTAGATGGGCCAGTGTGTGCTGTGATTGGCAGCACTCGGCACTTGGTCAGGAAATGTCACACCCCTTACCATAGCCGCGTGCGAGCTTCAGTGTAAACATTGCGTCAAAATCAAATCAATTTGAGCGCGATTTAAACCCGGATGATGGTAACCACTCTAAGTTCGTCTGCCTTGGGAAAGCTAGCATGTCTCCGACATAGTGATAACACTCGTTGCCTTCTCTAGTGCAGCTCAACCAGGTCTCGTCCCATTCGTCGATATTTGTGATATCACAAGTCCCGGAAAATATGCGTTGTAGTCCAAACGAGTCGTTCGTTGTAGTTTTTGAAAAGTGATTTCTGTTAAATAAAATATCTCCTTTTGAATTGAACTTTGAGCTTTGTAACTTTGCAGATCTTTTTTATACTCAAACAGCAACATTACAGACTAACTCAAGTTGAAAAAGTGAAAAAGCATAATAGCACCCCTTTAACCAAGTTACATGTCGCTGACTTCAGTTATAGACATGATAAGCTTCTGAAACAGTATCAGTTACACTACAGATTTTAACACAAAATAGCTCACTACAACACTACAGAGCAGTATCTTTATAATTATATAACTATCAGATGGTATCATTTATTTTTAAAATCAGATAAGTATTTTTAACTGACCTAAACAATAAGGATCCAAATTAAAGTGAATTTGCACTAAATAAATAATATATTTATGATACATTGCCATTCAGAAGAGTCACTAAGACTTTTTGTGTTTTTTGAAATAAATGAATACTTTTAATAAAATGTATCAAGTTTTTTTTACACAAAAATATGAAGCAGCTCAACTGTTTTCAACATACAATCATATAATAATCAGAAATGTTTCTTGAGCAGCAAATCAGCATATTAGAATGATTTCTGAAGATCATGTGACACTGAAGACTGCAGTAATGATGCTGAAAATTCAGCTTTGCATCACAGGAATAAATTACATTTTTAAATATATTCACATAGAAAGCGGTTCTTTTAAATTGTATTAATATTTCAGAATATTACTGATTTTACTGGATTTTTCATCAAATAAACACAACCTTGGTAAGCAGAAGAGATTTCTTTCAAAAACATTTAAAAAATCTTACCAACCCCAAACTTTTGAATGTTAGTGGGTATAAAATGTATGCACCTAAACAATGCTTCAAAGCTTCACATGTGTGTTTTTTTTTTTAATGGGGGGTGGGAATCTTACCAACCCCAAACTTTTGAATGTTAGTGGGTATAAAATGTATGCACCTAAACAATGCTTCAAAGCTTCACATGTGTGTTTTTTTTTTTAATGGAGGGATGAGTAATAAAGTAATAATGAAACTGAACGTTTTAAGTTAAACAGAGACGGAGTATGATTCTAACACTGGCAAAATAAACCTCCACCATTTGCGATCATTAACATAATTGTGTTAAAAACAGCAGCAGAAATGCTGAACAAGCTCCAGTGCTCATGTTGATCTGTGAAAGCTTCCTGTGGGACTACAGATAACGTCCAAAAGAAGTGGAGCCAGATACACGCCACATAATCACCGTCCCACTTAACCTGCGGAGCACATAAGCAGGAAGGCGCGGAGCGTGCAGGTCGACACACACCTGACCCCACTTCAGACACAATCCAGCGGGTGTGTGATTCTCTGTGTTAAAGGGAAACATCTGCAGACTTCACAAGGAGAACACTATTGTCCATGAAGAACTGCTCACTAAAGCACATACAGTGCATGGCCAGCGTGTCTTTTTCTATACTTGTGTGTTGTGTCCATGCCAGACTGCCAGGAATGTCACAATGCATGAATGCATGAATACATGTACACACCCCAACCCTACAGTAACACACCGTCTGATCACCAAACACTCAAAGCACCAGTCAAATGTGTGTTTATCATTATCCTAAAAAGCCCAAAGCTGGAATCAACACCAAAGATGATCAAATCTAACATCTGTTGTTAGTTTTGTGGCTTGTTGTCAACTAGTCATAGGTCAAATGATCAGTTGTGCTTGTTCTAGACAGAGAGAGTCAGATCCTCACCCTTCTCTTGAGACGGTCTCGCTCTCTCAGCGTGAGCGTGTCGGCTTTGGCGATCACAGGAACGATGTTGACTTTGCTGTGGATCGCCTTCATAAACTCAACATCCAGAGGCTTCATGCTGGGAAAAACCAAGCACACAGAAGCACAAATCACATTCGTTTGGGTTACAATTTATAAGGTTACAAAAGATTTCTATATCAAATAAATGCTGTTATTTTAATAAAAATAAAGATGTGAATTAGGACGACTTTGCTCTAACTACACCAAAAAGAAAAAACTATGAAACAATTTATGTACACCAAAAGTTTGGGGTCAGTAAGGATTTTTTTTTTTTTTTTTTTTTTTAAGAAATTAATATTTTCATTTGTCAAGGATGCATCAAATTGTTCAAAAGTGTCAGTAAAAGACATTTATAATGTCACAAAAGATTTCAATTTAAATAGATGCGGTTCTTTTTAACTTTTTATTCATCAAAGAATCCTGAAAAAAATGTATCATAAAAAAAATGTACAATGAAAATACAGGTTCTGTATCAATTTCGGGTAAGTACCAAAAATAAAAGTCTCCGTATCAGACTCGTTCTGGAGAAGTGGTATCGGTGCATCCCTATTTAATTCCTATTTCAAATAAATGCTGTCCTTTTTAACTTTTTTTTTCATCAAAGAATGCTGAAAATAAAATGCATCACAGTTTCCACAACAATATGAAGCCACACAACAGTCTCCAACATTGATAATAATCAGAAATGTTTCTTGAGCAGCAAATCAGCATATTAGAATGATTTCTGAAGGATCATGTGACACTGAAGACTGCAGTATTGATGCTGAAAACTCAGCTTTGCATCACAGAAATAAATTACATTTTAAAATATATTCAAATAGAAAATAGTTTTTTTAATTTAATTTAAATTTAAATAGTTTTGTACTAATATTTCACAATATTGATGATTTTACACCATTTTTAATCAAATAAATGCAACCCTGGTGAGCAGACGAGACTTCTTTGAAAAACATTTAAAATTTCTGATGCACAATTCACATCACTTTTGAACTTAAACTTTAAAGTGCAAAGTTTTGGTGTAAGTTCCACCTGTGCTTTTTTTTAGTGATTCATGTTGCTTTAATGCACCACTTCTGCTGCAAACAGTCCTTAATTGAAGGCTAAAGCCACTTTCTGCATGAATAATGTTTTATTGACTTATGACGAAAGGCATAACATGTGCAGGAGTTTTACCCGTGTCCAAACGGAGAGATGAAGTAAAAGCAGCAGTGCACTCTGTTGTCAACGATGTGTCTGCGGTTCAGGCCGCTCTCGTCGTGCAGGTATCGCTCAAACTGATTATCAATATACTGGATGATCGTCTTAAAGCTGTCGAACAGAATAAAGCATAGATCAGAGAACGAGCTGAAAGGAAATACTCAGACATAAAAGCTTGTGATTGTAGTGATTTTACACCATTTTTAATCAAATAAATGCAACCCTGGTGAGCAGACGAGACTTCTTTGAAAAACATTTAAAATTTCTGATGCACAATTCACATCACTTTTGAACTTAAACTTTAAAGTGCAAAGTTTTGGTGCAAGTTCCACCTGTGCTTTTTTTTAGTGATTCATGTTGCTTTAATGCACCACTTCTGCTGCAAACAGTCCTTAATTGAAGGCTAAAGCCACTTTCTGCATGAATAATGTTTTATTGACTTATGACGAAAGGCATAACATGTGCAGGAGTTTTACCCGTGTCCAAACGGAGAGATGAAGTAAAAGCAGCAGTGCACTCTGTTGTCAACGATGTGTCTGCGGTTCAGGCCGCTCTCGTCGTGCAGGTATCGCTCAAACTGATTATCAATATACTGGATGATCGTCTTAAAGCTGTCGAACAGAATAAAGCATAGATCAGAGAACGAGCTGAAAGGAAATACTCAGACATAAAAGCTTGTGATTGTATTAAACTAACGCATTAAACAAGCATCGGATACGGATCTCAGCTGAACATAATCTAATCATGAGATATCAAGATGCACTTTAGAAACAAACAAACAACCACTTTGTCCAAATAAAGCTTATCAAAATGCTCCACAACATCATGCTTACTGGTTCCTGTCCAGTATAGACAGACCACATGCACCAGTGTTAACTTATTATCATTGAGATCTTATTATAGATTTGAATAATATTTCAAATTAGTTTTTATATTCATATTTTCTTTTTTTTATTTTACATTTAAGTAAACGTTAGTAGTTTAGTTATGTTTTTGTTATTTTTATAATTTTTTTTTACATATTTATACAGTTTTTGATCATTTTTACTTCAGGTTTAGTTTTTTAGTACATCAGGTTAAATATAAAAAAATCTGAAAGTTGTTGAAAATGTTTGTTTCAGTTAACATTAAATTTATTTCAAGAAAAAAAAGAAGAACTGTTCCCTTGGCTAGTTGAATTTTTTTATATATATTTTTATATTTTGTTTGTTAACATTTTTTATTTCATGTAAAATGTGTTTTTTATGGTTTTAATAATTTTTTTAGTACATCTATTTAAATAAAAATGAGAAATGTTGCTTTTAAATGTTTTATTTTATTTTGGTTAAAGTTAAATAAAAAATTATTATTATTATTTATTTTAGTTATTATTTTAATAATTTTCTTTTTTACAGTTGTAGGTTTTTAGTACATCAAGTTAAAACTAGTGCTGTCAAATGATTAATCGCGATTAATCACATACAAAAAAAGTTTTTGTTTGCATAATATATGTGTGTTCTGTGTATATTTATTATGTATATATAAATACACACACATACAATATATATATTGAAAATATTTACATGTCTATATTTATATTCATATAATTTATATTACAAATAAATATATTTAATATATAAACAACATATTTTTCTAAAATATATACATGTATGTGTGTGTATTTATATGTACATAACAAATAGACAGCACACATACATATATTATGTAAACAAAAACTTTTATTTTGGATGCGATTAATCGTTTGACAGCACTAATTAAAACAAAAAAAATGTTTATCAATTGTTTTGTTTCACTTATGTTTTTATGCTTTTATTTTAAGGTTTAGTTAACTACAATGACCCTGATATGCATCAACTCTCAGTTCTCAAAAAGTCTCGCAACCAGCTTCCCTTTTGCTCTAAAGTCTCCAGACTTATCTAAACATCACACGCTAAACTAAACTAAACTTAACCCCCTAACCAGAACTAAAGCACTTCTGTGTCTTCTGATAAACGTCATGCACGAATCGGCCTTGACACCGCACAGCCTTATCGAGAGGCTGAAGGAGAAGAAGACGTGACATGACAGTAGGTAGGTAACGTGGATGGCACATTTTCATTTCATCAGCCTGAGAAGTCTGTGGGTGAGAGATGGGGAGGATATTGTTCTTTCAAACAGGACGTTCCCAGCATTCCTTAGCAAGGCTCAATGACCAATAGAGCAACAAGAGACAACAGCTGCCTCCAGTCTACAGTCAAGTGCCATAATGTAAATAATCTCTGCTATGCAGATACAATACAACACAAAACATGGGGTATTCAATTAATAATCAGTCCGGTCTTCCATTAAAGAGGTCATAGTTATTATACAAGTTATTTTATACATTAAAATAGTCAAAATTGTAAAATTGCATGACAAGATGCCTAAATCTGTGGTTCATCTAGCATTTTTTAAATGCACAAAAGGCAAACAAAATAAGAAATGCTGTTCTGCATTAAACCGTGAGTGAAGAAAATGATCCACTCATATGTACACAAGCATTTGGAGACTTAAGACACTTAAAAATGTCTTAATTTCAATACATCAGACAAAATATCACAGAGCAAGTGACATTTCAAAATAACACAATGTTTTTCTTTAAAAGTGCAGGCGCTTGTCCAGTCCTGTACAAGAGAGTAATGAAAAGAAATAAAATGTCATTTGGACTAATGCAATAATGCAACATTGTAAATGCCACTACATTTTTAGCAAATGTAAGCATATCATGTTTTGAACTGCAGCAGCATGTATTTACAGCAGGTATACCCTACTTTGCAAATATCCAGTCATTATCTACCACCAATAATTTACAGGGAAAATAAAAATGCATGGGACAGCTGATATAATCATAAAGAACGTCAAATTTGGAAATAAATATATGGCTCAGAAGACAGAAATTTCACCTTCCACACCCGTTGACATTGATTAGTATGTACCAAAACATTTCTAACCTCATGAACATACCAGAAATTAATATTGTTTTTATATTTAAAAAAGCTAATTACAATGACTAACCCTACCGTACCACTTTTAGAATTAGAAAATAATACAGGTATATAGCGCTCTGGGTAGAGGTCAGTCAGGAAGAGGCTGTTGATCAGGGTTGATTTACCAAGACCAGACTCTCCTAAGATGACAAATAACACCAGGTTAAAAGCACAGTGTGTGTCTGTCTGAATCCGTGTGTGTGTTTATATGTTCCTCACCTACAACCATCAGAGTAAACTCAAAGCCTTTCTTCACAGACTTCCTGTGAACCTGATTGGGCAGGTTGGCAAATCCCACATATCCTGCAGCATCAGGGAACTAAAACCACACATCAGATGGTTCGAGAAATAAAGTTTAATATGGAAATGTTCAATACTTAAAGGTGAAGTGTGTAACTTTTGTGGGACCAAATAGAATAACAAAATAATAATAATAACAACAGATTTTCCTAACACTCCCTTCATCTTCTATTGGTTGAGCAAACAGATAGTCCCGCCCCCAAACTCACGCCATTGGTTAAGTCAGTTGACAAATCATTTTCAATTACAGTGACTATGAACATTAAATATTTTAATATACAAAACAATTACACACTTTGCATTTAAATAAGTGTGAGAATCTTACCTTTCCTTTTTCTCCAGACTGCGACATTTTGTTTCTGACGACACAACTAAATAAAGAAAAAAATATTGATAAAACAAAATAAATAAATGCATTACAAGTCTTTTGGACGTCCTTACAGATTTATCTTAAATATCTAAAGAACAGGGTGGCTATGATAATGCTAAAAAATATTGTAAAAACTAATAATGAAAAATATGTATTCAACACTTAGTTTACACAACATTTACTCCATAAAACAAAAAAAAACTTATTATTCCAGTCTTCAGTGTCACATGATCCTTCAGAAATCATTCTAATATGCTGATTTGCTGCTCAAAAAACATTTCTGATTATTGTCAATTTTGAAAACAGTTGTGCTGCTTCATATTTTTGTGGAAACTGTGATACATTTTTTGGTCAATAGTTCACAAAAATTGCATTTATTTGAAAAAAAAATGTGTAATATTAATAATGTATTTAATGTCACTTTTGCTCATTTTAATGCATCCTCTCTGAATTAAAGTATCTGTTTTAAAAATTCTTAAAGGGTTAGTTCACCCAAAAAATGAAAATTCTGTCATTAATTACTCACCCTCGTGTTGTTCCAAACCCGTAAGACCTTTGTTCATCTTCTGAACACAATTTAAGATATTTTTTATGAAATCTGAGAGCTCTCTGACCCTCCCATAGACAGCAAGGTAACTACCACGTTCAATGTCCAGAAAAGTACCAAGATGATCAACAAAGTAGTCCGTGTGACATCAGTGGTTCAACTGTTCAACTTTTTTGTGCAAAGAAAACAAAAATAACTTTGGATGAGCATTATAAATGTGGAATAAAGTCCACAAAAAAATATTTTTGTTTTCTTTGCACAAAAAAGCATTCTCGTAGCTTCGTAACTTTACAGTTACCTACTACTTTGTCGATCATCTTGGTACTTTTCTGGACCTTGAACGTGGTAGTTACCTTGCTGTCTATGGGAGGTTCAGAGAGCTCTCAGATTTCATCAAAAATATCTTAAATTGTGTTCCGAAGATGAACAAAGGTCTTACGGGTTTGGAACAACACGAGGGTGAGTAATTAATGACAGAATTTTCATTTTTGGGTGAACTAACCCTTTAATGACCCCAAACTTTTGAACAGCAGTGTATGTTGTTTAAAAATATAATGACAGAATAATTAATTTACACAATCTTCACTCAAAACACATCAAATAAACAAATAAATAAAAATTCTAAAATCAAAAACTAAAAAAACTGGTCACTGAATCTTAAATGCAGCAGATGGTCAATAAAATGACTGTAATTCACATTACAGTCAAATGAAACATTCACATTCAATGAAAGCGCTACTGATTGAAGCTCTCCATCACTCTCATCTTCTGACATACACTGTATCAGATCTGCATTGGGTCGGACTGATGATGTTCATGGGGAACAAACTGTTCTGGAGACGCTGGAGTGTGTTAGACATGAAGAGCAGAGCGAGGGGTTGACGACAGGGAGGGAACAATGCTGTTTATCTTTCATCTTCCTGGAAATGCTTTCCTACATTTTCACCACTCCCCATGGTGCGCACACACAGACACACAGACAGACACAGACACACAGACAGACACACAGACACACAGACACAGACACAGACACAGACACAGACACAGACACACAGACACACAGACACACAGACACACAGGTGTACTTCATGGGGTTCGGGTGAAAGTGTGTTCAATTCAGAGATAGCGGGCTGGAAGTCATCACTGTGAAAGCCTAACAGCGGTAATACTGACAGATTGTTATGATCACGAGTGTTTCTACTCCCAAGACAAGAAAAAAATCTGCTTTGCCATCACAGGAATAAATGAAATTTTAAAATATATTACAACAGAAACTCACTCAAATATTTCATAATCTTACTGTTTTTACAATATTTTTGGTTAAATAAATGCATCCTTGGAGAGCAGAAGAGACTAAAAACAAACAAAATCTTAATACCAACCCCAAACTTTTAAAATGGTATTATATGTGTGCTATTCAAAAACAATAATTCTGTGAAAACATTTTACACACTGTTTTGTAAGGTTTTGTTTCAATTGTCTCATTTATACTAAACAAGTAAAAAATTCAGCTTTGCATCACAGGAATAAATATCATTTTAAAACATATTCAGTATATTTTATATATTATTTTAAACTGCAATAATTGTTATAATCTTTCACAATATTACTGATTTTACTGTATGTTTAATCAAATAAATGCAGCCTAGGTAAGCAGAAGAGACTATTAAAAAATAATAATATATGTACGTTCACTTAAATTCTGCAAATTATGTGTTATTCAAAAAAAAAGTGGTCATGCTATGAATATTTGAACATTTTACACAATGCTTAATCAGATTTAGGGTTAATTTCCATTTTTTTCTATTCTTATTTAGGCCAAATAAGTACAAAACAAGAAAGAAGGTCGAACTGTGTTCTTCATTTTTATGATCATGAGTGTTTCTACTCCCAAAACAGGAAAAATGTGCTTTGCATCACAGGAATAAATTACATTTGACAATATATTCAAATAGAAAACAGTTGTTGTAAATTGCAATAATATTTCACAATATTGCTGTTTTTACTGCAATCATATAATCATATATATATATATATGCAGCATTGGTGAGCAGAAGAGACTTCTTTAAAAAAAAAAACCCCGCATTTAAAAATGTGTTCACTTTAATTCAGCAATTTTGTTCTATTCGAAAAAATCATCATGCTTCAAAATGTTGTGAATATTTAACACAATGTTAAATCAGATTTAGGTTTCGTTTCCATTTGGCTCTAACCTTATTTACACAAAATAAATACAAAACAAGGAAGAAGGTTGGACTGAGCTCTTCATTTTTATGATCATGAGTGTTTCTGCTCTAAGACAGGAAAAATCAAGAGTCAAAGTGTTTTTCAGGAAAGTACGGAAACTAATTTAGGATGAATGTCAGATTGTGGGTGCAGCGGTGCTGCTTTTATAATACAGGACACTGCAATCCCTATTTTATCACACACACACACACACACACACACACACACACACACACTCTGGGAGGTCTTGTTATTGCTGGCTGGGAATTATGGCAAGGATAAACTCATTGCAGATTAATCAAGTGGCCTCATTATCGGCGCAGCGGTCACACCGAGGGTGATTTTTTTTTTGCATTAACACGTACATTAAACTTCAAAACCAAGAAAAGATTGAACAAACTCACCAGCTTTCAACTCTACCTCACCCTTTTGTAGGCTGTGACCTGACTTAAGAGATTTACCGTTTTTACGATAAAGGGAAAAATGGTTTTGAGGTTCTTAAGAGAATTCCTGACGGAGCTTAGTGGATTGTAAGCTCGTGAGACATGTGACTGGAACGCCACATATACAGTCAGTCGGATCAGAAAGCTGGGTTTGCTGATGGCCGACGCTTGCTGCTGTTTCACAACCAAACTACCCTTCAAAGCAGCACTTGAGTTTATGAGTGAAACGTGCGCCTCATGACCTCTGGTGCAATTCGCTTCACTTTTGAAGAGTGGCTCCGGCTCTGGCGTATTGATGAATGGTTTTCAAGACAAAGGACGGAATCACTTTCAAACACAGGCGGAAATGACACATCAGGAGTGCGGGATGCGATGTGAGAACGAAGAGAGGAAACAACAGAGAGAAAGAAATTTGATGACATTCAGAGCCAAGATGGCAGAGACAGTCTGCAGTTTCCAGTAGCTATCCGAGTTAAAGAGTTTACTTTAAACTAGCAATATTGCAGATTAACTGACCATTTCAAGATTATCGGCTGATAACTGGGCCCAATTATCCAATTAACAGAAGTGTGCCAATCCACCTTGTAAAATCCAGCGACAGCCTTGTCAACGCTTAATGCATGTTTTATACTTTCAAATAGTAAATTATTGTGCAAAATACACAAAAGTGAGAGTAAAGTCATTTATAATGCTACAAAAGATTTCTATTTCAAATAAATGCTATTTTTTTTAAACGTTCTATTCATTAATAAAGAAAAAAAATGGATCGTTTCCATAAAAATATGAAGCAGCACATTTGTTTTAAACATTGATAATAATAAGAAATGTTTCAAAATCAGCATATTAGGTTGATTTTTGAAGAATCATGTCACAATGAAGGCTGGAGTAATGAGGCTGAAAATTCAGCTTTGCATCACAGGAATAAATTACATCTTAAAATATATATAAAAAATAAAACGGTTATTTTAAATTGTAATATTATTTCACAGTATTACTGATTTTTCTGAGTAAATAAATACAGCCTTGGACATCTTTCAAAGACATTAAAAAAATCTCACCAGCACCAAACTTCTAAATTTGTGCTATTCTGAAGTCATCATGCTGTGAAAAATTAAGTCATATTTGAACATTTTACACATTTAACCAGATTTAAGTTTCGTTTCCATTTTGTTTCAACTTCAAACGGTTTCTCATTTACACAAAATAAGCACAAAAAAATTAATAAACACTGTTTTTGAATCATTCCTCCTCTGCTCTGAATACAACATGCTAAAATGTGTCCTATACAAGATATAAACAACACCTAAAAGTCAAAAGTTTCAACGCAAACCTATTCAAGACTGCTAAAGGAAGCAAAAGACACTTATTTGCACAAAAGAAGCACATTTGCGCAATAAAACATCTGAAACAGTTAATAGTCCTTCATAATGAAGAAGTCATTTAGAAACTCATCTTGTTTACTTGTCACATGTCTTGCCAAAAGCCAAAATCCTGCTCATTATAAAGTGGGGATTTCCTTTCAGACCACTTCTTTTCAGGTTCAGGGTTATTTTAACATAACATGAGCCAAAATATATCATTCTGATGAATACAAGCTGCCTGAAGTTCTCTTATTCAGTTTGACAAAAAAAATTGGATCTAGATATTGTTTTATAAATACCCAGCGAACAGTAAAACGTTCTGAGAACTTAGGTTCTCTCAAGGTTATGAACAAACGCTCTTCCGGTAACATTAACAGAGCATTCGTGTAAAGCTGTCTGGGCCTATATAGCACAGAAATGTTATTTATACATTGTTTATGCACTTTTTTTTTTTTTTTTTTTTGGAAGGTTCAAAGAATATTCAGAAATAACGTTGCCATAATGGGAACGTTAACAAAATATTTTTAGAACATATTTTACCCCGAGGCCCAAGCAGAAATGGTTTTGGACTAGTGTTTCAAACTTTTTTTTCATTAACACTATAGTACTACATTTATAAAATACTAAATATTCCTTTGTTATGCTGTATTTTGCTAATTTTATCATCACATTCCATTATTTGACTATTATTGTAAAGCACTCCATAGCATTTGGAACATAAATGTTCAAAAATATATTACAAATGTCATTATATAATAGTAATATTTGTATGTAAGCAATAATCACATATCTAATATATAATCAACATGAATATTATATTATTAGCACATACTAACTTTAGCGAGCACAGAGAAAGGTCCAGAATGTTCTCTTTAAAGGGGTCATATGATGCGATTTCAATTTTTCCTTTCTCGTTGGAGTGTTACAAGCTCTTGGTGCATAAAGAAGATCTGTAAAGTTGCAAAGACTAAGGCCCAATCCCAATTCTATTTTATACCCCTTCCCCTTCCCCTTGTCCCTTGAAACAGAGTGTCAAAGGCAACTTTCATCTGTCTCTCTTTCTCTCGAATTGGCAATATTTGAGAAAAGGATTTAGCGATTTCTAATTATTGGGGGGACTAGCCCTCCTCAATGTCTACGCTGGTTATCGCCCTGATCAGACATGAATATATGTTGGGGCACTATCGTGCAGCCTATAATGACATGACGTTAGTTAATCTTAGCGATTTTTTTGCAAACATTTATTTGAGTAACATGACCGTAAATATGAACTCACGATTGAATGTAACATAAAACAGATCATTACTTTTCATTAAAATCTTTATTAATGCCAAAAATGCTTACATTTATGTGTCTTTTTGTTCGCTCGGGCAGCCATGTTGCCCCTGAAGCCGGTTTACGCTGAGATAATTCATACCCCTTCGTTTGAAGCGTGACACACATCAGAGATCGTGCAGCTCACACATCCAGGAGAAAATAAACTAGTCAACGCTGCCCCACGACTTTTATTAATAACAGTTTAAATACTGAATCGCTACATTATATTTTCCAGCAACGAGAGGATAAAATCGCTGTTTTTTTAAGTAAACTCACTCTAAAAAGAGAAACGCACAGACAGTTTACACGCAACTTTCATCTCTCTCTCTCTCTCTCTCTCTCTCTCGAATTGGCAATATTTGAGAAAAGGGTTTAGCGATTTCTAATTATTGGGGGGACTAGCCCTCCTCAATGTCTACGCTGGTTATCTCCCTGATCAGACATGAATATATGTTGGGGCACTATCGTGCAGCCTATAATGACATGACGTTAGCAAATATTAGCGATTTTTTTGCAAACATTTATTTGAGTAACATGACCGTAAATATGAACTCACGATTGAATGTAACATAAAACAGATCATTACTTTTCATTAAAATCTTTATTAATGCCAAAAATGCTTACATTTATGTGTCTTTTTGTTCGCTCGGGCAGCCATGTTGCCCCTGAAGCCGGTTTACGCTGAGATAATTCATACCCCTTCGTTTGAAGCGTGGTCCCGAAAAATCTTCGTTTGAAGGGCTATCTGGCCCTTCCTCTTACCCCTACCCCTCCAACCAAAAGAGAATCGAGACGCCCCTATCCCTTCACATGAACGCGCGAAACGGAGGGGTAGGGGAAAGAGGAAGGGCTAAGCGGTAGAATTGGGATTGGGCCTAAATCTCAAATCCAAAGAGATATTCTTTATAAAAGTTAAGAGTCAGCCACGCCCCCCTAAAACAGCTCGTTCTAACACACCCCCACATGTCTACGTCACAATGTGGGAAGATTTGCATAACGTTGCCCAAATGTTCACGCAAAGAAAGAAGGCGTAACTCAGTACTTTAAAAAAAAGTATATAATAACAAATCCACATAAACAAAAAATGTATGTTATCATAAATAAAAAAAAAACCGAATCATGCACCGAAATGTTGGCTCCATGTTAAAGTGAGGAGGTTGGTTCCAGGCGGAGCTCGTGCTGTCAAACTCTGGCCATCAGCTCCTCGACTCCCCCAAACCTCTTTCTGAGCAACACGTCTCTGAATTCACATGATGCCAAATTCCAATGTAAATTATAAAAGAAACAACAACAGATAACCTTGGGAACATTTTTATAGCACCTCGTTTAAAGTGAAAACAGCTCCTCCTCGTCCACACCCTGCTTGATAAAACGTTCTTCATTCATCTAAAACTGACACACCCGCAATAAAACTAAACACATCTCACACTTTCAAACTGAGAAACCAAGTAGGCTATCGAGTGATACAACTATATTATTTAATCAAACTTCTTCTCAGTGTAACTTTGCACCAACTTTGACATGCAACAGTTACTGGAGCCACACAGGAATTGATACAAAGTGATTAATCACTTCCAGGATACGAACGCGAAGAAACTTTAACTAACTTTTCAGCCGCCAGAAGCCCTTACCTGACCGCTATTATTCCACTCCACTTATTCTCAGTCCAGAAAAGTCCGTTAGTCAAAGCGCAGAAGAGACGCAGCGAAGAGATGCTTTCCACCTGATCAAAGCGCTTCAGTTTTTTTTTGTTGTTGATCGATTTGAGATAGAGAGACATTTGGAGACGCACGAGAGAAAAAAAAGAAAACCAAAAAAGTTCAGAGTCGAACACTTTGGCTAGAAGAAAGGAAAACCTAAGGCTGAAGTCTCTGGAGAGGAACGCAGCCTTTCCAAACATCCCTCAACAGGTGCGCAGATCTATCTGAGGAATAAAAGAGATGGCCTCCGCGGCTCTGGAGATCCTGGGTCTGATCCTGTGCGTCTTTGGCACGCTCTTGGAGATGACCGCCTGCGGGCTACCCACCTGGAAGGTGACCGCCTTCATCGAGGCCAACATCGTGGTGGCGCAGACCATCTGGGACGGCCTGTGGATGTCGTGCGCCGTGCAGAGCACCGGCCAGATGCAGTGCAAGATTCACGACTCCATGCTCGCGCTCAGCCACGACCTCCAAGCCGCGCGTGCGCTCACGGTCATCTCGTCCGTCCTGTGCGTCGTGGGGCTGATGGTGGTGATCGCCGGCGCGCAGTGCACCAACTGCATCCAGACGGAGAGCGTCAAGGCGCGCGTGGTGAACGTCGGAGGCGTCATCTACATCGTCGGCGCCGTCTTCGTGCTCGTGCCTCTGTGCTGGATGGCCAACAACATCATCTCCGACTTCTACAACCCTCAGGTTCCGGCGGCCCAGAAGCGGGAGATCGGCGCGGCGCTCTACATCGGCTGGGCGGCCACCGCGCTGCTGCTGCTCGGGGGAAGCATGCTCTGCTGCTCGTGTCCCTCCTCTGGAAGCTCCGGCTACTCGGCCAAATATGCGCCCACCAAAAGAGCAACATCCAACGGGGACTATGACAAGAGGAATTACGTTTAGACGCTGGTTTACACATGCTGTTCTGTGCGTTCTCGAGTGTTGCACCTGCAGATGTTTCGGGTTTTCCTTTTTTTTAAGCATCTTGGACTACTGACTGGATCCATTTTTTTTATTTAACGCGAAACTTTTGAGGATAGCCTATGCGTTTCTGAAAGGTGGACGTTTTATAATAACTTTCAGCAATAGTGACAAACATCATGCAGTGCTTAACAGATCATCGCAATGCTTTGAAATAGTCCAGAATCGTTCATTTGTACAATATTCATATTTTAATGTGCATTAACTAATTAAACAGTATATCATTTTTATATATGCCTGTTGGTAACATTTTAGAATAAGGTTCATTAGTTAACATCAGTTAACTACTTTAGTTAACATGAGCTAAAAATGAACAAACTTTAATGTTAATTTCGACATGCATTATTAAAATCAAAAGCCCTGCATGTTAACTTTAGTTAATGCACTGTGAACTAACATGAACAAACAATGAATGACTGTATTTTCACTAACTAACATGAACAGAGATGAATAAATACTGTAATAAATGTATTGCTCGTTGTTTGTTCATGTTATTAACTAATGGAACCTTATTGTAAACTGTTACCTGCCTGTTTTTTATTTTTAAAGCATCTTGGACTGATTGGCTGAAATAAATCCTTTAATAATAATAACTTTAAGTAAAAATGTCACTGATACAATGTAAAACATGATTTTTCTAAGTAAATAAAACATTGTTTAAAAAGAAAATACTATTTCAGTCTTTCTACTTCAAATTTCACTTTTAAATCAATGGTAATTAATTGTAATATTTACTATCAACTTCTGAGTTTATACACATTTTCTGATCATTATAAGCTGATATCCTTAACGTTCCTATAACTTCATGTGCAAAGGTGTATAAACTATGATCTGTTAAGCATATTTGATGTTTGTTTTCATAATGAAAGTTAGTATAAGGGGTTTCGCTTTTGCTAAAAATGCTGTTTCAAACCTATCGAGGATATTCGTGATTGAAAGAGAAGCTATAATCTGACAACAGATCTCTTTTAGGTACCTGGAGACGCCTGTAAGCTTGTAAAAGTTTGTCAAAGACTAAAAGCATTAAGTTAGTAGCTGTGGCTGTTGTGATGTTCACCGATGTTTTAGTATGTGTGTGGAGGAATCTGCTTCGGCACATTTGCAGAGACTCTTGCTCAACGCTCGGAGAAACAGCTGGAAAACTGAAGCGATTGCTGGCTGACCGGTCAGTCGTAACTCAGCCGTCCACGCAGATGCTCATCAGAGCTGAACAAGCACACATGAGCAATACAGTCCAGCAGGATCTCTGTCCATTATGGAAAATGTCTGTTTTTGGGAATATCCTGCCTGGATGGGCATCTTCATGTTTCTTGAACTCAAGACCTCTATGTTCAGTTTATTCAGCTCATCTGAAATGTTTATTTTTTTGTTACTTTTTTTAATTGTCTTTGAATTCTTCAATGAATGTTGTTTGGAATAAACATTTACAGTTTTGACACAGATATGAATGTTTGTGTTTTTGTTTGATACCTCTGGTTATAGTTGTGACCTCAAGCTCAATATCAGGTTGTGAAAGCTCTTCTATAACTTTCATATGAACTGTGGTTTCTGGATTGGTAGTACGCTTCTTAACTAGTTTTGATGCTAAACAAAGTCATGAAGGCTTATATTTAGCATTGAAGTTACCACAAAGGTTCTTACCAATTTATTCAAATGAGCTCTAAGTATTTGATGCTGGGTGGTTATTAAATGAAAAGTGGGTACAGTCAGATGTGAAGTGCCACTGTTGTTGTCTGGGTTTCCAGAACTTGGTTTCTTAAGGCTTAGCCGGTCATACGGCCACTCAACACAGCAAAAACCCGTCAGTCACACTGGAGAACTGCAAGACCTGGTTTTACTGGTTAGCTCCAGTTAACTGAACTGGACACACTGCAATGTAAAATGAAAAATAACTTTACGTAAAAAAAAATGACTTGAAAAACACTTAATTTTTTTTTCACACGTTTTTTTTTTCTTGGCACAGTCGGGCCATTTGATTTTTGTTTGCACTGCCAATATATATTTTATTTTTGTTAGATTCATAGATTATATCCATTAGACAAATATATATAAAAATCCATAAAGTTTCTTTACACAAAATCAAATAGCAAAAACAACACTATAAATAATGTATCAGATATTTAGTTTGCAATAATATCTTAATTCCAAAAAATAGATTAAAATGCATATAAAAATCCATACGTTTTCTTTAAAAAAACAAACTAAAAAAACTATAAATTATACATCAGATGTTTACTTTGCAATAATTGCTCAATTCTGAAAAAAATGGATATGGATATAAAAAATTCATACATTTAAGTCAGGTTTTTAGTTTGCAATAATTGCTAAATTGCTACACTAAACAACTATAAAGTAACTTCATACATTTTCGCCGAAAAACAATACCATACAGTGCCAAATATGACTGATTGGTTTGATGCTTTCAAGATCATCACAAATGTACATTTCATTAAAAAATCTATAATTTTTTCTACCTAATCTGACTATAAAATGTCATTTATTTCATATAGAAATAAAAATATTCCATTTAAACAAAACTAGTTAATTAGTTGTTGCCACCTGAAGTCATTTCCTAGATTATTTGCCTGAGCATTTTATAGCGCAAACTCTTGTGGTCCTGTGTTACTGAAGTTTATGGGTTTGTTAACAGCACTGCTTCCCCCGACCCTCCTCTCTCAGTCTCTAACACAATAGAGCCTGTATGAATATCCACACCAGCTCTTTCAGCCGCCATTGTGGGATTGTTAGTTCCAGTCACCCTTTGGAAGCTAAGGAGGTTACGAGGCTGAGTAACGAGTGTGTGTGTGTGTGTGTGTGTGTGTGTGTGTGTGTGTGTGTGTTTTGGGTGGGCACTCGGGGGAGGTGCCAGACTTTTTAAAAGGACCTTCCATCCATAATGAAGAGAGGCACATGGGGGCAGCGACGACGTCATTAAAGAATCTTCGTCATGGCAACCGTAAAAAGAACCTGCAGTTGCCTGGTGACAGGACCCCATAATGTGGCCATATGGATGAGGACAATGGAAGACCCGTCCCGTCGGCAGACATTCCAAGACACGGATGGGGGAGAGAGAGACAGAAACAAGGAACAAGAAAGTGAAGAAAGAACAACCTCTCACCCTATACTGACATAAACAAACAAATCTCACATATATACAAATCATTTTATTATAAACCAATACACAATGATTATAGATCATTATTTTACACTGCAGTGTTATTTTAGTACCACTGAGATACTATAAGTTTTCTTTTTCATTTTAGTTCAAGTTTTAGGAATTTTGTTGTGTGTTTTTGAAATTTTTAGTAGTTTTTTTGTCTGTATAGTTTTTATTCACTTGTATTTCATTTTTCATTTTATTAACTAAAAAATTATAAAAGTTTTAAGTTAGTAAACACACACACACACACACAAAATATATACACAGTATATATTTTATTCCAGTCGACGTTTATTTTATTTCCAAAAACGAAAAAAATATTTTTTTATGGTTTTCGTTTTAATTTTAGTTTTAGTAAAATGTCAAGTAGACTTGAAAATATGGCCCTAAATTAACCGATCAGATCAAGTCAAATATATATATATATAAATATGACTTCATGAACCTAACTGCATTAGATTACATAACTTCTTTCTTATTTTTTCAAAACATATTTTTACTGTAAAAAAAGACAGAAGATAACACTAAAATATTCATAAAAAAACCTCCCCACCCCCATACCCCAAATTTCTTTTTTAATTTAGTTTTGAACAACAGTAAAGCCAGGGAGTTAAATAAAACGGTGAGAAAATAAAGAAAACAGAAATAAAAAAATATTTAAATACATAAAAAGAGAGCATAAACTAGTAGTCTTTATACCTTTCCAATTAGTATAAAGTCAAATAACGGATGCATAGTTTAACATTTCTAAAAAAGTTTTTAAAAAAAAGATGGTGTTTGGTTGGAAAAATGTACTTTATGTGAAATTGACCTAATAATTAGGTAGCTTTTAAAGCTTCATTTTGTCATTTCATTTCTATCCCTCTAGTATCACTAAACGCAGTTACAGAAACAGTAGCATAACTGTTTTCAAACAAGTTAAATATTCCACTGGTTGGACAACAGACAGTCCTGACCCCAAATGTACGCCATTGGTTGAGCCAAAATTGCCCTGTCAGAAGCAGATATTTTTATTTCACATTTATTTTGAAGAATGTTGGTAAACAGACAGTTGATTGACTTCCATAGTATTTTTTCAGAAATATTATGAAAGTCAATGGCTACCAGCAACGGTTTCATTACTAACATTATTTAAAATATCGTCTTTTATGTTCAAAAGAAGAAAGAAACTAATAAATAATGACAGAATTTAAATTTTTGGGTGAATTGTCCCTTTAAAGGGGTTATATGATGCGATTTCAATTTTTCCTTTCTCGTTGGAGTGTTACAAGCTCTTGGTGCATAAAGAAGATCTGTAAAGTTACAAAGACTAAAGTCTCAAATCCAAAGAGATATTCTTTATAAAAGTTAAGAGTCAGCCACACCTACCTAAAACGGCTCGTTCTAACACGCCCCCACATGTCTACATCACTATGTGGGAAGATTTGCATCACGCCGCCAAAATGTTCACGCAAAGAAAGAAGGAGTAACTTTTATTCTCGCTGTAGTATTGTTGCTGCCGCTGCCGCCATGTCGTGAAGATGCTGTGTGTTTCGTTGTGAAAGCAAAACTACTTTGTTTGGTCTTCCAAAAGAGGACACGACTAGAAATCAGGGGTTAAGTTGTATTTACAACACTGTTCCAGAACACTTCAACCCAAATATTCAGATGTGTGCAGCGCATTTT